AAACAGGCAGGGATGGTGGGGGATGCATGATAGGGGCTAGTGGGATGGCAGGGTGGGTTCTGGGTGCGGCGGGGGCCCAAAAATGGGTTGGGCGGGGCTAAATATGCATGCTAATAATTGTCATGGCCCCCACGGGGTGCGGGATGGGCTGGGGGAGCCAAAAACACGAAAAATCCAGAGTCTTTTGCATTTTTAATACAAAACAATTGAATATCAAATCGAAAACTTAATATTTCGGCATGAAACTTTGGGGACCTTTGTATCCATGGTGGAGGGTGCTTCATAAATATTTTGAGTATTTATTATGAATTATGGGGTGCGCCACACAGCCAGGAATAGTGTGCGTGATGGGGTTTGATGTGCTTTGCCAAATTTGGCAATATTGTGATGGGTGCACATCCGTGCATAATTCCGGCTCGCCCTCACATTATTTCACTTAGCTTTGGCTGAGAGAAATGTTGGGTACACTGACACCTTTCTGTAGACCCTTTGATTGTGTGAAATGGGGGAGAACTCATTGAGATATAAAAATGAATTCCAAAAGCACCACTTGCATCCCAAAGTTGTTACAGGATGTTGATGCTCTTACTGTCATTCTGATACCCTTTTGCATATCTTTGCACCTACTGCTCGGAATCTCATCCGGTCTTTTGAAATCCCTTAAGAATGTCAATAGGTCCTCATATATGAAGTTTGGTAATTTTTGAACAAGTCCGAGGTACCCATTTTAATTATTTTCGTATTTTTCGCACATTTTCAGCTCATTCTCTAATACCATGTCCCCTGGGCATTGGAGCCTCATCCGTCACTATCAAAATATCCTTACAGACATTATCCTAACCCGAACGCACTGTTTAATGGGTGCGATACACAGATTTGGCAAGTATATAGATAGATCCTCATGTGGGGGGCTACCTCATCCTTCTCCCCTTAATAACTTTACACAGAAACATCCCCTTGCCCTCGCAAGTACCTAGATCTGTTCCTATACATTTATTGTCATTTATCATGATTTTAGATGTGCCAATACCCCCCATCCTGGAGGTCAATAGAATATTTCAGCTCGTGTGAAATGGGTCAATAACCCAGCTTCCAGGCAATATTAAATTATGATAAAATATGTTAAATTCATGAATAAATGTACAATATTCATGTACTGTACCAACTTTCAGACTTTCAGATGTACATTTAGTGCAGTATCTGGAGTGGGTCTCCTGGTGTACCTATACCCCCCCTCAGATATACTACACTCAGACACCCCCTGGCATTATCAATAGTACTATTACTCTCAGACATGTATTCCATGATTTTTGACCGACTTAAATGGGCCTAAACGCGCCCGAGGATGCATGGATGCACCATGCATTGTAATAGCCAAAATCGTGTTCGTCATATCTCAACGAGTTCTCCCCCATTTCACACGATCGAAGGGTCTACAGGAAGGTGTCAATGTACCCAACATTTCGCTCAGCCAAAGCTAAGCGAAATAATGTGAGGGCGAGCCGGAATTATGCACGGATGTGCACCCATCACAATATTGCCAAATTTGGCAAAGCACATCAAACCCCATCACGCACACTATTCCTGGCTGTGTGGCGCACCCCATAATTCATAATAAATACTCAAAATATTTATGAAGCACCCTCCACCATGGATACAAAGGTCCCCAAAGTTTCATGCCGAAATATTAAGTTTTCGATTTGATATTCAATTGTTTTGTATTAAAAATGCAAAAGACTCTGGATTTTTCGTGTTTTTGGCTCCCCCAGCCCATCCCGCACCCCGTGGGGGCCATGACAATTATTAGCATGCATATTTAGCCCCGCCCAACCCATTTTTGGGCCCCCGCCGCACCCAGAACCCACCCTGCCATCCCACTAGCCCCTATCATGCATGCCCCACCATCCCTGCCTGTTTCGGACGGATTTCCCACGCCTTTCCCACCCCTCCTGCCCCCCGCAGGCCTACCCTACCCCTGCCCCACCCCCGGGAGGGTTGTTTGGTCATTTATTTACCCTCCCCCATCCCCAAACAAATCTCTATGGCCCTGGCATCCCCAGCAAACTCACCCCAGCAGCCTCGGAAAACCTGACTGCTCAAACACAGTCTGGACATGTGAGGTCACACTGGCTAAACACAGGGTTTGATATAGATTTTTAGCTGACATGGCTGAAAGACTCAGATCAACGATGTTCAACATCGTTGATTGTGGTTCGGTGGGATTCGGCTGTGCATCCCATTGGCTGGGATTATCGGCCCGATCCCATTTCCGTTCCGTTGGTCACAAAGGAATGTCTCCAATGGATGCAGAATGTATCTTTTCTCTATTAAAACTTTTGGGGATTGTTATTAGAATATAAATTCATCTATTCATGTAATTTGAACAAAAAGTAATGAGATTTAAATATTCTACGAGTGAATTCATCTCAGGATCAGGCCAATTGGGGGACTCTCTCCTCCATATGTAGATTCCAAGAAGCAGAAGAAGCCAAATAAGTCTATAAAAATGGTATGCAGACTGGCTAGTTATGATAGTATTGAGGAATAGAGCTCCCCTGACGAACTTATTAATTTTAGGATGTACACTAAGAATCTATGAACGACAATGTGAATACTGATATGAAGCCAACTCAAGGATGTGTCAATTTTCAGACACTGGCACATATTACAGGATCTGCATGAGAAATGTAGGCTAAGTTTTTGATATGTTGTATTTACTTACCTGCAGATGCAAATGCCAAGTTATTGTGATGCTTCAACTACTCGAATGAGTGGTATTCAAGAGGTTAAAACATCAAGGAGACGTAAATCACCACATGGAAATGGTAACTCGAGCTTTTAGCTTGTTCACATTCTCAGATTATATTCGGATCTTTCTAAATACATAGACTACAGTAGTGTAATTAATTACCGACTATTAATCAAAGACATTTCCTCATATCCCAAGTGTATTGGCTCTTCCGAGGTCAACGAGCGGAACGCGGGCTGGCTGGACTGCCAGCACCAGCCAATCACATCGCCCATGGCATCTGCCAGATAAGCCAACAATGATGACAAACATTGTTGATCTCAGTTTCAACCACCACATGGCGCTCCCCCTCTCAGTCCAACACCTCAAATAACCCCCCAGGACCGGAAAAAAGGTAAGTAATATATTTCCTTTATAAATGTGTACCCCAATTGATATTTAAATCAACGCTAGGTCAACAAACATCGACTTTAAGTCGATGTTTGTTTTCATTGCCTTTTATGCCCCTCCCCTTCAATAGGGATGTGAGCAGAGGCACGAAACCCCACCCAGGTCGCCTCTCGCCTCCTCTATCCTCAAGCTCCCCACCACCTTCCGCCTCTCATTGCCCACGCCCTCCCTCTGCACACCTCCCCTTGAAGAGGGACAAATATCAAAATGAACGACGCATGACAACGGCGACAAATGACAGCGGCGACAAACAACAACAGCGGGCGACGAAAGACGACAGACGACAGACAGCGGGCAACAAACGACGACAGACGACAGACAGCGGGCAACAAACGACGGCAGCAGTGGCACGACAACAACGATGGGGGCACAACGAGGAGGGCAGCACAATGAGGACGACGGCACAATGAGGAGGGCGGCACAACGAGGACGACAGCATGATGAGGACAGGGGCACGATGACGAGGATGGCAGGGGCACGATGAGGACGGTGGGGGCACCCTTCACCTCTGCCATCGCCCCTCGTTCACGCCTCCCATCCTCTGCCTCGCCCTCTCGCCCTCCACCCCGCCTTCTCGCCCCTCGTCTGCCCCTTGCCCGCCCCTTGCCCACCCCTTGCCCGCCCTTGCACTCTGCCCTGCCCTTTGCCCTACCCCTCAACCTTTGCCTCCACCCGTCACCCTTGGCCCACAACCTTTGCCTCCGCCCCCCGACCTTTGCCTCTGCCCCTTGACTTTTGCCTCCGCCCATTCCTGTCGCTGTTCGCTGTTCACCATTGCCCGTCGCCCTTCACCCCTGCCCATCGCCTCCTGCTCAGCACCCACTACTAGCAGCTCAAGCAGAAGAGAGAGCACGAGAAGGGGGGGATGAGCACCCAAAGGGCATCAATGAGCGACGAATGGGCAGAATGAATGGCAAATGGGCTGAACGAGCAGGGGAGTGGTGGGGGTGGTAGAGGGGGTGGAGGAGGGTCCCGTGGCGCAGAGCAGAGGGTACCCCAATGAGCAGAAGAGGGGGTGGAGGGGGACCTGGAGCAGAAATGGCGCATATAAATGCACCATTTCTGTCCGTTTAATCTTTATTTCATAGCAGGTGGCTAGTAGAGCCACCTGCAGCATGTATTTATTTTATTACAATATAATACAAATTTTTTTTGCATTTTTTTGCTGCAATAAGGCAGGGATGAGGACCATAGCGGAAACGATGTGTCACGACATGTCATTTCTACTTCTTTTTGTCTTAACTCATAGTTGGTGGCTGGTAAGAGCCACCCACATCATGTATGTATTTTGTTTCAATTTAAAACGATTTTTTTTACTATCTTTCTGGTGTACCCCGAGCTCACTGGATGTTGTGGCAGATGGCAGCGAGACCATTACAATGGGTTTGTCATAGTAATTACAGCATAATCTACAAATAGCTACAGGCCCCGCCAAAAGGGCCACGTCATCCAAACCCACCTAGCCCAATCCATCCATTCCCGCCCCCCAACAATGGGGAAAACAATGCACAATGATGAGGAAATATGTTTCCTCATCATTGGTGCTTTTTCCCCATCAAAAACAGTGGCGTGCATGCTGAAAACAACGAGGAACAATGCTCAGGCATTGTTTCCTGCATTGTTTGCTTGTGTTGACATGCCCTGCCCACAGCCACAAGCCCCAGCACACCCGGCAAGGCCCTCTCTGTAGGTGGACTGTAAAACCACAGTCCTGACATATAAGCATACCTTGTAAAAATACAGTGTCTGATATAGATTTCTAGCAGACATGGCTGCTCCCTCGCCCTCTGCTCCCTCCGTTGCCCTCTCACCCTCTACCTTGCCTCTCGCCCTCTACCTCACCTCTCGCCCTCTACCTTGCCTCTCGCTCTCTGCCCCACCTTCTCACCCCTCGTTCGCTCCTTGCGTCCTCGCCCTCTGCCTCACCCTCTTGCCCTCTGGCCCCTCCTTCATCCCTTTTTCACCCGCGAGTGACGACGATGATGATGGCAGGCAAGGGCAGTGGACGACAGTGGGTATGAACAGAGGCAGCAGGACCAGCGGAAGGTGACGGCGGGCACACGACGTCAACAGACGTCAACCCGCTCTCTCACCTTTGCCTTTGCCTTTTCCCTCGCCCACTGTTCTGACCCTCACTCCAGCCCTCGCCCCTCGTCCAGGGGCCCAACGAGTGACGAAGGGGCCGAACGGGCGGAGGAGAGAGCAGAGGGGTCCCCAATGAGCACAGAAGGGGGTGGATGGGTCCCCCATGAGCAGCAGAGGGGATGGAGAGGGGGTGGAAGTGGAGCCATGAGTACACGAGGGGGTGGAGGGAGCCCTAACGAGCACAGGAGGGGGCGGAGGGGACCCACAAACAGCAGAGGGGGCAGAGAGGGCAGAGGGGCCGGGGGAACCTGAACCCGTCTCCCTGAGCAGAAATGGTGTGTTATAGCACACCGTTTCTGCTCGTTTTACCTATATCTTAGAGCAGGTGGCCCTACTAGCCATCCGCATCCTGTATTTTTTTTCCTGTACAATTTAATACAATTTTTTTGTGCATTTTTTGCTGCAAAGGGCAGGGGAGTGGAAATGATGCGTACAATGCATCATTTCTACTTGTTATCTCCTTATATCGTAGTGGGTGGCTGGTAGAGCCACCCGCATCATGTATATATTTTATTTCGATTTAATATGATTTTTTTAAATAATTTTTTCGTGTGCTTTGAGGTGCCCCCGAGCTCGCTGGATGTTGTGACAGATGCTGGCAAGAGCATTATAGCGTATGTGTCATGGTAATTACATGATGATCTAAAAATAATTCTGGGGCCCCAAAAAAAGGCCGTGTCATCCAAATGCACCTGGCCCAATCCACCCATTCCCGCCCCCCAACAATGGGGGAAATGGTGCACAACGACAAGGAAATATGTTTCCTCGTCATTGGCAGCTTTTCCCTGTCGAAAACAGGGGTGGGAGCACCCCAAATGATGAGGAACAGTGTCTGAGCACTGTTTCCTGCATTGTTTGCATGTATTGACATGCCCCATCCACAGCTGTGAGCCCCAGCACACCCAGCAAGGCCCTCTCTGTAGGTGGACTGTAAAATCACAGTCCTGACATATAAGCATACCTTGTTAAAATACAGTGTCTGATATAGATTTCTAGCAGACATGGCTGTCAGATGGGCCAACATGGCATGAAAGTAGACACGTTCAACATATTCTGTGACCAGCTGGTGCATGTATACTAATTCATTTCCAATCTATCTAACTTGAGGATAGGAGACTATTTTCAATGCCATCTTTGAGGTCATGGGCAACACTCCAACTCCCAAACTCAAAGATCTCCTATTGGAAAAAATCTCTGTCGACTTCAAAGCTCTCGATGCTTTTTACAGTAACAAAGACAAAGAAGTGCAGCATGGTGATACACGGTTCCTCACTGATGCTCACTTCCTGCAGCTCCGGCAAGCATTGGAGATGCATGACAGCCAGTACAGGGCTTCAGGAGCAACAGTCCATGCTCCCTCTGCCCCAGCTCTTGCCCAATCCGCTCCACCTGTTCCTGTTGCTGAAGCTGTTCTGCGGATGCCCCCACCCATTCCATGCATGACAGCTCCCCAGCCCACTCTGCCCGCTCCTGTAACCGAGGCCGCTCTACCTGGTCCTATTGCCCAACCCATTCTGTGTGCGCCAGCTGCTCAGCCCACTTGCAAACCTGCTCCACCTGCACCAATGGTTGCACCTAGCCCCACCTCATTGCTGCCTATGTGTTCCAATGTGGCAACAACCCAGGAAACTTTCAATTTTCCGCCCACCATCAACCCCAGTCTCATTGGATCACGAGCAGCACCCCCTCTGGTACAGGCGTCAGTTGTTGGCAACGGTCCCAAGGTCCTTCCACGCACTCAGTCTGCTGCACCCCCAGGTCATGCACCAGCGCAAGTTCCTGTGCGGTCTCAGTCAACTTCCCCGGCAGTGCCGCCAACAGCTCCTACCCCTGCAGCATGGAAGATAACTCCTTGAATGGTGAAGGCCAAGGGGGAACCTGCAACGGCTCAGAATGTCCATTACCAGCCCCCTGTTCGTTTGACTACCCATGGCAGTCCACCTGCACCAATTCCCAATCCCGTCAAGTCCACCAGCACGAGGCAGAAGATCTGCTTGCCAGAAATGGTTGTCGACGACGACGACAATGATAATGACGAAAGAAATCCCGCTCCAGGTACTGTCCCATCAATGGCTGGCCCGACGATGTCCGCCGATGCCCCTTTCACCCTCATTCTGTCTGCCCAACCCTTCTACACTTTCCCTCCCTCGGGCGAATTTGTTCCCATGGATCCCCTTAACAGGATTCCTGTGGGGTATGACACGTTTCCTACAGGAGCCTTCGTGTCCCCCACTATAGTTCCACCGTTGAACGGCCAACCATCTTACGCTAATGCAGAGGTTCAGCCCGTCAACAAGAACCTCGGCCTACAGTGTGACTACTGCATCAGTCAGTCAGTAGTTTGCTGCCTGCCTCCCCCACCTGGGATCAAGGCTGGTCAGAAGGAGCGACCAAAGGAGGCCTGCAAGCTGTGTGCTCAGCGCAAGCACCAGTGCACATACAACGGCAAGCAAAAGGACACAAAGGGAAAGTCTCAGGGCAAGTCAGATGCCAGTGGAGACACCACACTGGATGCAAAGTCCGAGACTCGCTCAGACATCATTGACATGACCAACGGAGATAGCTCGAAAGTGCTGTCTGTTGTTGAGGTGGAGGAGGACAAAGTCCACTGCCCACTCGAGGTTGCACGTGAACAAGGCCACCCGCTCCACCTGTAACGGCTGCCTCCACCAAGAAAGCCTGCTCCAGAAGTACCCAGAAATGCAGCACTATCATGGTCCCTGCTCCTGGAAGAGAAGGCCAGTATGGTGGTAAGTCTGTCGCTTTTGTTTCTGTTCACTAATGTTCAAATTGTTGACAGATTTGTATGCTATCTCCAATGAAGCCATGGCCGCGCGCTTGCAACAGGCAGAGAAAACATGCAATGCTCTTTGCGAAGAATTGGCTGAGGTCCACCAGGAAGTAAAGCAAATGAAGACCCAGATGAACAGTCAACACGCTTATGTTGCGGAATCGATGCACCGTGTCTATGACCATGTTGCCACCCACATGTCAGCCATGACACAGGACATGGTAGGTGTGCAGAAAGTGGTCAACACTGAAGGACGATACACTGGGGGCTCAATGACCTGCTCGAAAAGGTTGTAGTCTACATGGGTAAGGCACCCCCTGGTTTATTTCTCTGAGCTGTCAGACCTGAGGGACAGCACTTGTGAGACGGGATGCTTGAAGGTGTAGAGACAAGTCAGGGTGATGCTGACGCACCCAAGCAGTTTGAGAAAGGCAAGAAACGGGTGGTGGATGAGCCAGCGGATGAGGCAGGCGTGTCTTCCTCAAAGCGGGCTTGTGGCATCTAAGTTATCTCCACACTTTCTGACCTAACTCATTGTTCCGCCTGCCCAACTGTCCGTAGATACTCACTTGTCTTTTGTTTATGCCTCGCAATAATGTCAGTTCCCCTGTTCCGTGTATGCATAAGTGTTGATATTATCTTAAATCAGTCTAAATTATGTAGTCCAAGATGGTCCAGTACAGGACTTCTTGGTACCTTTATCTGAAGCAGGGCACGTTTACACCGCTGTGCGGCTTCTTGCTGCTCCTTTGCTGCAATGGCCTTTGCAGTGGGCTTTACTGGGTGCCGTCCGCCGACAATTGGCATCGTAGGTATGTTTTCCGAATGCCTCGACCTTGGCTTCGAAGACATTAATGGATGGGGATCTGCTTCTGGCACAACGGTGGGCAAGTTGCTTGGAACAGGTGCCAACTTCCTGGTGGGCCTGAGCAGACCAGGGGAAGTGCCTGTCCCAGAACCACAGGAGGCAGAGGGAAGGACGGGAGAGGGCAGAGATACAGCCTGGGTAGGAGCCATTATCCCAGGTGACTCCACCAAGAGCGACGGTGGAGCGGGTGGAGATAGTGGACGGGGCAGAGATATTGGTGGATGCGGAGATAACTCCAGTGGCGGAGATGCACTTGGGGGAGGAGATTGAGGAGGCATTGGTGCATCAGCCATTTCCCACAAGTCAGGGTTAATCAGATCGTCATTGAACATATTAATGTTGGCCCCCACCCTGGGTTGCTCCCCTAGTCTCTGGTGGTCAACAATAGGGTCATATGTCACAGGAACCATGGTTTTTCTGTTCCACTTCTGAAGACAGCGGTGGAAATGTAGCACCTCTGAAGTTGGTCCATCTGCCTGCCGATCCTGCCAGAACTTGAGTAATTTTGTGAGGTCAGGCTTACTCATTAAGCCTGGGTCTTTGAGTTTGACGTTCAGGTATGCTCCGTCAATGAAGAGAGAATTGTCTGCAGATAGGAGACGCCATGGAACAGGGTCCTCAGGTCGGCCACAAGCAATACCTAGCCACAAGTCAGGGCATACCATGTCAAAGGAAAGTATTCACGTACGATACTGCACAGTTACAAATTTCCGGACAAGATCTCATTGTTGTGGAGTTGACTCTCCACCAGGCAGAAGAGGTGGGAGAAACGGATATCCATGGGGATCACATTGTAGGTGGGGCAGCTGGCGTCCGCTAGGAGTTGATGAGCAGGTCGGGACTTGGCTCTCTGTCCCCGTCTCCTCATCAGAAGGCACCTCCAAATTCTGGAGTAATTTGTAAGACATCTGCTTGATGAGCGCTTTCTTGAATTGGTCAATGAGAGTCGGATGAAGGTCTGTGAAGGACTTCTCGGGGCAGTTGACTCCGACAGTCTTTGAGAAGTCATGACTGCTGTTGTCAATAGCAGGCAGATCTGGGAGAGAAGAGAACATACACAAGAAAGGCCAACTGGTGTTCATTTATCTTGTGATACTCACCAATGATGACTGTCATCCCAAACTCGTGGTAGAGCATCTTTGCTACAGACAGCAGAACTTTCTCCAAGTGTAAACCGACATTCCTGGTGCTCTCAGAACACGTTGCAATACTCTGAAGATGAGTAGACTTACTTGTATTGTAGCTCTGGTGGGTGCTGTACTTCCCATGTTCGTTGAGCCTCCTTTGCTTGACGATTCTGCTCTGGTGTCATGCTCTTATGGAAATCCGCGTAAACAGTCAAATACATCTTGAAAAATGGTTGGGAACTGGAGTCATGACTGCAACACTCACTAGCTAAGGCATGCAACTCCTCACCCCAGAGGTGGGAGATAATGGTTTTGAGGTGGGTCTTCCAGCCAAGGTCAAAGTCGGTCTTGTCTGGTTCTTTATGGTTGTAGAACCACCACTTGATTTGCTTGGGCAAGAATGAACGACCCATATTACAACACACGAAGCTTGACTCACCAACTTCCTATGCTTCCATTGTTCTGGCACCATGTCCCGACAATGCTTCTTCATTTTTGGCAAAACGGTGGAGATAAGGAGCTCCTTGCGGGAGCATTTATCCCCTTTGACAAATGCTTCGAGATGAGCCATCAGAATGAGTGTTTCTGCTTCGGTCCATAGTGGCTCGTCGGGGGGTGGATCCTTGGAAGGCATTGACAGAGAGAAAGGAGAGAGCAACCTCTGAGCTGTCACTCAGGTGGCCATTTTGCACAGTGAGATTACATACATGCCTATCTGACAGCTCATATTGCAAGCGGACATGCAGCAGAGTTCTCTTTATGGAAGATGAAGAACCATATTAGGTATGTGCGCTGCACAACTACAAGTGGCAGATGTAGGGAGAATCCTCATAATGGCACAACGAAGGCATCCCGCATCCTGAAATCAGGTGTAACACATTATGGAGCTAGCAGGCAGAGTGCTCAGCAGTCAATTCAGTTTGTAGTAGTAGTTTGTAGCAGTAAAGCCAATGACCAAGAACGAAGGCCACAGATCCTGAGTCAAATCCAGTACCGTCTTCCAATTCCTCGAGGACAAAACAGTGGTGCAGATTCAGAGAAACTGGTTCATACAATGTCCATCTTTTATGGGATGTCGGAAGGGGCATCGAGAGGCGGGCAGAGAGGAGACAATTGCAGACTTTGCTTGAATATGGACCATTAGCAGAGATGTGTTCAAACATGGAGGATATAACATTCAGAACACAGAAACCTGAACCTTAGCTTTATTTACCAGACCTGAATCTTTCGGAGTAACAGACACTGTACTCGTAGTTATTGAACTTTGGATGGTGTTCTCAGGTGACAGCAGACAGGACGAGAATTCACTGAACTGGATTGACTTGAAGTCAGTAGACTGGTGTCTGCCATACTTATCATAAGATACAGGTACTTGCCTGCACTGCTTCTGACACAGTGCCGGGGTAATTAATGAGGAGTTTGCATTTCTCATTATTGACATAACTTCTCATTCCGAGCCATGGCTTGTAAGTCTTTTCATTCTTTGGTTCGCTTTTCCTTACTGTGCCCCTTCTCATATCTTAAGAGTTATCATATCACACAGTGCACTTCTCATATCTCAACGCATTTTTCAATCTTGCTGACTTCTCATATCATGGCGCATTTTTCATTCTCATCCACACTTCTCATTGCCCCTGCACACTTCTCATCACCCACTGACCTTCTCATATCATGGTATTCTTCTCATTTTGTGGTGCTGCTTCTCGGTTTGATGTGTATTACCCATTAGGAAAGCGCATCACATAAGGGATTGGCTGGCAGTATTGCTGGCGTATTTCGGTCATTTGTGGGCCGATTTTGTTGAAATAAAAAATACAATAAATCGTAGAATAATTGTAGCATTCCGTAGATACCTCACACGTGACAGTGTTACCATTTTTGGCAGCTGCACAGCCAAATTAATGCCCTGCACTTCGAAAATGCGAAAATGCGGCCTCACTGGGCCCCCTCCCATGCATCCCCTGATAGAAACAGGTGAGCGTTTATGAACAGGCATATAATGGAGTCCTATCTACTGCAAAATATCCGCAATACCTGCAGAAATGCTCGCATAATTGCCTAACCAATGCAATTCGCTAAAAATAGCCAAAATGCGCACCCAAATCTCTACCCATGGCAGGGACCGGACCACCGGGACACCTTGGCGGTTCGATAGGGGAGATGTAAGGCTTCCCAGGGATATATTTTGTATGGCCCCGCATGCATTATTCTTGGCTGTACGCTTCAATTACTGATTTTCGTTCAAAAACACGAAAATGCGTCCCTCACTCCCTCCCCAGAATCCCTGTTTCGCACCATAATATCTACCCATATACCCTACTACAGAGTAACTCTACCACTTCATGTCCTACCCTCAGTTATATTCCGCTTACAGCTTGTGTCATTCCCCTCTCCTCCTCCTCCCCCTCAAAAAGCAAAAATGCGCACTGAATGTTCTCCTCTCCTGCACTTCATGGCATCCTGATACATATGCAGCATTGTTTAATAGCTAATAAGGTACTCATGTGTGTGATGATGCCCTGAAATATTGAAATCTGCAATTGCAGGACATGTATTCCTGTTTCCCTTGGTTCCCTCTTAATGTTTCCTCTGTCCTGGCCTCAATTCTGGTCCGATTCTCACAAAAACATGTTCCCCATACTCAGGAAGAAAGCTATTTTAAATATAGATACCCCCGAGAACGCATTTCAGACCACTTAGATAACAGCAAAAGCACACTGATTGGCCATTTCAGAAAGATCAGAGACATAATTATTTAATCAGACACTGCAGACAGCCTCTATATATATGCCTTAAAATCCCTCAAAAGGTTTGAGGATGATAGAGTGAATGTGGAAAGCAGGACACTCAAAAATGCGCTGGGGAGAGACCATTGATCAACATTCTGGATGAAGCTAATTATGTGTCTTAACCATGTCTTTGGATACCCCATCTGATAGATCTTCTATACCTCTGGGGGACTATGGTATTTCGAAAGTATCATATCTTCCCTGTCTAAGACACATTTTATCATGATTTTAGAAGCAGCAAATGGACCTGAATTCAAGGGGGAGTGTCTGTGTTCCCAAAATTGGCTGGCACAAGGACAAATCTGTTCATAGAATATTCATTTCTGAGTGTAAATTGTTCGGACCTTTTTGAGCAGACTAAATAGCCTTCTGGGAACATATTCCGGGTACTAACATGAGGATAGGTAAGGTACAGACCATGCCAGTGCGATGCCATTGTGCCCATCAATAAATCCGGAAATTTCCGAAAGTAGGGAAAGCAGACCTGTTCCAGAGGCATTGGTGCCCTCCTTGCTTGAATGGAAGGCTGAGAAGTGGGATAGGAGATTGAATGGACCACTAGAGGAGTCAGGTGTATAATTATTAGTCCAGACCAGTAGGATAATGGTCAGAATACTGCTCTGATAGATGTCAGGAGGAAGGACTGATTAATTTCATCTCCCATGTGGCAAATAAGCAGAATACACTGGATAATAAGAGGCAATAGTACTAGATACAACCATTATGTTGTTCCAGCAACAGGTGAATGCAATTGAATCATCCAGGGAGGGATTGAGGGGCGCATTTTCGTGTTTTTGAACGAAAATCAGTAATTGAAGCGTACAGCCAAGAATAATGCATGTGGGGCCATACAAAATATATCCCTGGGAAGCCTTACATCTCCCCTATCGAACCGCCAAGGTGTCCCGGTGGTCCGGTCCCTGCCATGGGTAGAGATTTGGGTGCGCATTTTGGCTATTTTTAGCGAATTGCATTGGTTAGGCAATTATGCGAGCATTTCTGCAGGTATTGCGGATATTTTGCAGTAGATAGGACTCCATTATATGCCTGTTCATAAACGCTCACCTGTTTCTATCAGGGGATGCATGGGAGGGGGCCCAGTGAGGCCGCATTTTCGCATTTTCGAAGTGCAGGGCATTAATTTGGCTGTGCAGCTGCCAAAAATGGTAACACTGTCACGTGTGAGGTATCTACGGAATGCTACAATCTACGA